TGAAAGAGTTTTGATACATGATGGAATAGGGTGCAAATGTCAAAATGTAGCCCAGCCCACGACTCTGCGGGCGTATGCTTTCCGTCGTATGCACCCTCGCTCACATGCTGTCTTCCATTTGCCGACTCCGTACCTTTGCCCAGTCGTCGCGCTCCTTCTTACCACCCTGATCCTCCAGACCCATGCCTCGCTCAACCCACTCGCGACTGCCCATGTGGCTCAAACGAGAGAGCGCACGTGCAAACGCGAATGCCTCCTCGTCGCCCGAAAAGAGACCCGAGAGACCCTTGATTGAATCAATGTTCTGATCCAAATCCTCGAGCAGGTGACTCATCGCGCCGTCGCCCTGTCCAGCTTCTTCCTTGCCCTGCTTGCCTAGCGACTCCTCCAATTCCGCGCGAGACACGAAGAGCTCCGTCAGAGGTTTCTCCGTCGTGAGGACCAATTTGGCATGCGACTCGTACACGGCATCGATAAAGGTGATGAAACGGCGTGCCAGATCGCGCTGGCGGTAAGTCATGCCCGGGATTTCGGTCACAATGAATGCATCGTAGCAGCGCACCAGCTCAAGGTAGTCGGCGGCGGACGTAGGCTTGCCGATGAGCTCGTCAAAGGTGAACCAGGCGCAGCGGCCGCTCACCCGCGGCACGTGGATCTCGCGGCCCCAAACCTTCTGAATCTCCGGGTGAGGCTCGGGTGAATCGGGGTCGCCGAGGAAGCGGAACCATTTCTCGGCGTGGGAGCTTGCGTGTGCGTCCAGCGGCGTGTGGTAGACGCCAGAAGGGGGTCTTGGGATTTTGCGATAGTCTGTCGGGGAATCGAGGTTGATGACGTGGAGCCGGTTCTTGAGCAGCTTGATTGCCGGAACGAAAGACTCGCGCTGGATGCCGTTCTTGTATAGTTCGTCGGGGTGTCGGTTCGATGTGGTTACCAGTACAACGCCATGCGACATGAGTGATTCGAGCAATCTGCTGACAGTTAGTCGCCACAGTTCCCACGCCTAGCTTATGCCGCTCAAAACTCACCTCCTAAGAATCATAGCATCTGCCACATCTGTACACTGAAACTCGTCGAAGCAGAGGACATTGCCCTTCTCTGCGATGTCGGCCGCGACAAAAGGCACAGCGTCGACATCGTTACCGTGCAGCATCTTCATCTTATGAAGGCGCTTGTGGACGTCTTGCATGAAGTTGTGGAAGTGAATTCTCGTCTTGGACTTGACGGAGCTTGGCAGGGTGTCGTAGAACAAGTCCATCAGCATCGTCTTGCCACTGCCGACATCGCCAAACAGATAGAGCCCGCGGGGCAGATTCGCCGGAATGGCGCCAATCGCGGCATGTGCTTTGCCTCCGCCGAACCAGGATCCAAACACTGATTTCGCAGGTTTCAGGGAATCGAGAGTCGGGTGCACAACTGCTGGCGCTTGGTAGTTGACGAGCTCGTCGTGAAGGTGTTGGAGGCTCTGAATGATGCCTGTCGCCCGCCCGATCGCATTAGCATGTGATCCTAGCCTTTGCGCCGCAAATCTTCTCACCTCTCTGGTGTTCGTCGTTTCGCAAGATGCCGTTGTCCACCCGACGATCGTACTCCTGGATCGGGCCAAAGTCATCTCTCGTCACTGTTGCCCCTTTAGCTCCTGCGCCTCTCCCCTCGGCTTCTATGAACCCACCGTTGTTCCCCTCTGTTGCCGCTGCTACCGCCGACGCTGCCCTTCTCTGACCAGCATAGCTCGCGTATTGCGCCGGGAAACGTGGCGCGACCGTGGTTCTGGGTTTGTTGGCACTCGTCCTGCTCGCCAGACAGGCTGTACAAAGTGTGCGGCGGAGGGTGGGCCGTCTCGGGAGTCTTCGGGCGAGCGGCGGCGACAGGCATAGGCGACGGAGGGGGAGGGAGGAAGAAGCAGCGACGCCGCGCATGGTGGGCTGCGGGCACATCAACGAAAACAGAACTCGATAAGAATCGATGCGCGCAGAGACATGTTATGCGATCCGCGCTCTCGGTGCAATGGCTGGACGAGAAGACGCAAAAGGGGTGATGTGGAAGCCACAAAAACGCTTCGTCGCCCAGAACATCAAAAAATGACGCTATGCCTGCCGCCGGCGATACTTGTAGGTGCCGAATTAACGGGTTAGTGGAGCGGGCGCCACGGCTGACCTCGGGAAGACGGGCATACTTAGTACTGCCCGGATTCTTCGTTCTTCGGTATTCCCGTTGGCGGTCGCAGGGCACCTCACCTTCCATTGTCAGTGCCGCCGCGGGGCCCTCCACCTTGCCGAAGTATCTCCTTTCCTCCTCGTCTGATTGGACATCCTGTGGCTGCACCAAAGCATTGGATGTGGCTGATGATGGCCTCAGCTTCTTCGGCATTGGCGCTCAGACCAGATGGTTCAAACCAACTTCATCCCTTCAAACCGTGGGATTGTCGAGTCGGACGAAGTCTTTTTTTTGATACGGACGAACACCGGTTTCGTTGTTTCTGCACCGGAATTTGCCTTCATTCTCCAATGCATTGACAAGGTCCCAGGTGGCCCCCGAGTTGAACGCTGGGCACCAGTATGTATGAGAACCAAAACATGAGCTGCGCTTCAAGTAAAGCATCTCGCAAGAGGCCAAGATATATAGCAATCGGACAAATTAGGTTTTCCTGATCAGCTGCATTCAGCTTCCACGCGACGGTAAATTTACAGCTTCTGGGGTTACACAAAGCCATCCCCATAGCTTTCAACCGATGATTGGCAAGTTAATACCGGGCACGGTTGACATCACTGGGTGGGTTTCGAAAAAACATATCCTGCACTACGTGGCGATTCTCGTCCGCGGTTGGCGTTCATACCTCAGAGCCTTGGATCCCGGTGCAAGCAGGAGTCAAACCAGGAGCCCCAGACAGAAATTATCTCGGGAGACGAGCCGGCTCCTTTAATCCCGGATGAGATGGGACGGGGTTTTCGACGGAAGGGAACATTCTCAACCAAAGGACTTGAGGGGAGTCACAAGAACCTTTTGCTCCTCAACAGAAGAACGCGAAAAATCATCAATCCATTGAGAGTGCGCCTCAGTAGCAGGCACATCTTGGCAAGCTTGGATTGACCTGGATGCCGATGGAGCCGCTCGCAGAGCCCCGTTCAAGTGTTGTTGGAGATCATTCTGTGGGAATTCCAGACCGTGCTGTTGATTCTAGATTCGATTCGCCACAGGCTGGGCCGGCCTGATGCGCAAGCATTAGACCAAAGATCTAGACCTCCAGGGATCGGTTGCCCAAATGCCCGACAGCCTCGCATCATGTTGTGCTTTCGCATTCGTCCAAAATTGAGGCCTTCAACCCTAATATCATGTTATAGAAGCCCATGGCTATTTCAGCTAATATCCACAGGGGTTTCCAGGCAGAAGCAATCCCTCACCCAGCCGGTCGATGTGGAAAAGGGGGGCTCGCTGAGGTTAGATGCCTGTAGTCCGCGGAGGCGCACCCGTTTTTCTCAAACATTGAACGGTTTATTGCAGCCTCCGTAAGGTCTCGACATCCATGGGTCCAAAGAACCCTGTGACTCTCGTGACCCAGGTACGCATCCCCAAGAGTAAGCTTGCCCAACCCTGAGCGGACAGATCCATCCCGGTCAACGTTACCCCCCAACGGACGTTAGGCTTCACTGCATTACCCCTCAACCTCAAGATAAAAGGCCGGAGAGATCCATCGCATGCAACCGTCGGCTGATTTCTTGCTGTCTGTGCGTTAGCGGTGGTACACGGCATCGTCGTGTCTTGCTTCCTGTCATCACACCAACGCACACACCGGCAGAGTGCTGGGTACGCCATAGGCCTTGAGGTACTCGGGGGAGTCAAATTTAGAAAAGGGTGGCTTCGGGGAGAATCCTCAATATCGATGTAGCAACACTCGCATACTGGAGCCAGCAAAGCTCGTAACTAGCTGGTGGTGCCTGAGTTGAAGATCGCGGCATTAGTATCCCGTCAACCTTCTGAAATCAGAAGAATGCAGCGACGAGCAGCGAACGTGAGCTTCTGGCCTACTGTCGGCGAAGGAGAAGTCCTGAAGACCTACGTTGTTATCCACAATCCTGGAAAATACGGGGAGAAGAAATAGGGGGCAAGATTGCTGGCTGCTCAGTGCGGTCGTGTCGCTCAATCCTTCGCTCAGACGGCCAACGATGCTCCAAACAGTCCTCTAGTACAAGAATTGATGCCACAATAGTCTTCTTACTCAAAGCTCACGATGTTATCAAGCTAAGTAGCCGTGTCTTAAACGCGCTACAAGTCTTATCGAAATCGCTCGACATCAGAGCGAGGAGCAACCCTCACAACTTATTACAGCGGATGCCAGATGGTTTAAAATACTGATCAGCTGAGCTCGGCCATCCTTTGATACGCATCGAGATCTCGAGTTCGGAATCCGAGCCCGTGGCCGTGAGATTTATGGAGTTTACACTAGAAACTGTCCGTGACTCATTAAATGCTCCAGGACAGGTGGTTGAAGATCAAGCCGTGCAATGTGACCTCAATTGCCAGCGTACACGGTGTGATACTGGTAGCGATGATTTTCGGAGACGTGCAGAGGTATCAATATGAGTCTTTGTTGGCTTAGACTTCTAAGGCTATGCAGTTGCAGCATCCCGCTGCGACGCCCTGGGCGCCTTGACCTGACGACAGTCAGAGCTGTATAGTAGGTACTCAAGTCTTTGATAGGCGCTTGGCTTTGTTGTCATGCCTCTACCTCGAGTCAAAAAGGGCATCGATCAAGGGTCAGTATCGATATGGTGAAGGGGATCTTTGCATATCCGTTGTTCGTCGAACAGCGTGATTGTGGGATTCCAAGTCGAAGACGCTGCCCTATCTCGAGAGGTAATATAATAAGTACAGACGAGAAGGGCCTCTGCAAGAGGTCTCGAACAAACGCGCACTGGAGCACAATTTCGGCAAGCCATTCGCCGCCCCAAATTAAGTCGACTTTGCACCATCGAACAACCTGCTGCGCCCCTGAACCAGGCACAATGGTCACCGTACCAGGGATTAGCAATGTTCAAAAACAATACCTTTCAACGAGACGTAGTAGAGCACGGCAAAGGGAGGAAGACTCGTGGCTGAAAAAGACGTTTCTGCCCCTTGTTAGTAGCTGGCTCAGGCCCCAAGATCCTACAGCCCCTGAAGTGGGAAGATGCTTCTTTCCCAGTCCCAAGATCACCTTTTTGATCGACAAACCGGAAGGATTGATCTGCCAGATATGCCAATACAGTCGTCTGGCTTTTCAGGAGCAGACCGAGATCGAAAGCGGAAGGAGGCATTCCGACAGCGTCCCCTTGATCATGCCTTGCGGGCATTTGGCGGGAGCTCGATGTCTGTCAAAATGGCTCCGAGAGCACAATAGCTGCCCGTTTTGCCGTTGCGAGCTCACTTACGGCCAGTGTGGACATGGAGTACCTGCACGCCACATCACCAGGGAGGAAATCTTCCTGATACCTACCACGATCCCAGACGGAGGCCACATACCAGACCGCTGCGCCGTATGCTACAAGGATGCGCTCAGGCTAGCTGTTCAGACACGATTACAGGCTTGCGAGCGTCGGTTTGTGCAGGCAAGAGACCGTTTTCTCGCATCCAACAGTCCTTCTGATGCCAGTCTCTTGATGCAAAGAAAGGCGGACTTGGAAAACATTATGCTTGACGAGTACCACATCAAGGTCACCAGCGCGTGGCTGACGTGCTGGTAAAAAGTGACCGGACGAGGGTCCGCAGAGTACCGAGCGCACAGCCGGTTGGCTGCGGACCAGCGGAGCAGCTCAAACCTATGAGGCGGGCGTGGGATGTCCAAAGAAGAGACGACTCTTGGGTGAGACACACGGTGTAGAAAGTCTCGGATTGCGCGTAGGCATCATCAAGACGAGGATGGCAGCCGACAGGTCCTCTCTTTAGGGATTGGTTTCTTTTTCTATGCTTCCTCCAACCCCCCTAGATCACATGCTGCTGAATGTTTTGCCAGGAATAGACGACCCGCGACGCCGAAATTTGCATCGACGGAAGGCTGTGACGATTGCAGCGGAGGCAGGCCTCGATGGGCTGGCCGGCTGTGAGCTGTGTGTTCTGGCCATCAGCTGAGGTCGATGGGCGGTCGGGCGGATGTGAAAAGTGATGGCTGAACAAGTTTCGAGACGGTTCCCGAGTGCCTGAAGCAATACTCGGTAGCAGGCTGGGCAGGCCGGCAAGACCAGGCAATCGCAAAAATTGGAGCGGAAGGATCAAGTGTCCTGGCAGTCGGATGCCGCCTGGCTGCAGACGAAGCGTGATAGCAGGGCTAATGCATGTATGGAGTGGCAGCGGAAGGCACCCGGGAGGCTGCGAGGCAAGCCAGGATGCCATGGGCGTACACACAAGGCATGCCAATGCAGTGCGGTTCTACAAGTTGATTGAACCAGCCAGGGCGAGGTCGGAGGTGGCAGAGGCGAGAGCCGCTTTTTTTTCCCTACTTTTTTTCTTTCTTGAGATCGAGACGGGAGACGGGAAGAGAGGCAAAAGATGAAATAAGAATGAAATCTCAAGCCGTCATATGCTGCGTGGGTGCGTATGGCATGTATTGGCGGCGGCAACGTCTCAGCACCGTTCGCATTCTCGAAGCCCTTGTGCTGCTGAGAGCTGGCCCAAAACAGTGGACCGGACGTCTTTTCGTTACGTAGCAAACGAGAAGGATTGTCGTCAAAGATGCGTGACATGTAAGAGGTGGACGAATACCGGGATGGATACGTCAACGGACGTGGATGCGATGGTGGAGTGCACCGGAGTTCAGTGCATGTGGAAGGGAAGAAGAAAGCCCAGGGCAGGTCTTGCCCTCAGTGTGGTGGTGAGAGGCACGCCAAGTGGGCCTCCCTACTGGAAATAACTATGTGGGTCCCGGAGGTAAAGGTTACCTTAGTGTACGGATACCTACCTAAGGTATGGTATGGTAGGCGCGGGCGGCCAGGGCTCGGATGTGCGTGCCTTACTACCTACCTTACCTTAAGGTACCACCTACACCACCCTAGGTACCAAACGCTGCGTCTTGGCCCCCTTCGGTCAGCAAGGAAGTGCTACCTCACGGGCAATTCCATGCTGTTAACGCCAAACGGGCCAGAAAACGGCGAGACAGCGTTAGTGCGCCGGGCCTTGTCTAGGGATGTCTGGAGGCCCCCCCCAGTCTTCCCTGCCCGGCGATCGTGGGGTCCCAAAAACCCAGCATCACTCCAACCGGGGCCGGGGCAGCTAGAGCAAGCTAGAGCAAAGATGGCACCCCCGGCCCGTGGTCATGGTGTTTTGTGGCTGCCTCCAACGGCTGGTCTGGTCTAGTCTGGCCTGGATAGAGGTAGGTAATCAAGTAACAATCCTTCTCCAACTAACTGCCCAGCAGCTATTAACCTCACCAACCAGAACCATGCTCTCTCTCTCTGTTTCTCTCGACACTCATGTCCACCGAGTCTCGAGTTCGAGCCCCCAGAGCCCCTGTACATCTCTCTTGCTCCCTCGTCCCGGCGTCGGTCTCTCGTTCTCGTTCCGCCTCCGTGCTCCATCCAATGTCTCTCACCCGACTGGTTACTCACAGGTTCCCGTCTGAGCCTGGGTGCTCTATCCGGCCTGCATCTGTCGCTCATCACCGACACGCGCACACTGCAACCCCAACTCATCCCGCTCTGCCTCCCAAATGAGACATGCATGGAACGTCTAGCTAGGCCATACCGTAATCGACATGCTGTGCCAGTGTGCCTGCCGGACGCCCCTTGTCTAGTGAACTGCTTTGCAGCGTCCGTATACCCTTCGTGACTACTATGCAGGTGCCTTCCTGCGAGGACGTACGCACCTCAATACTTCGAAAAGGCAACCAAGAGATAGGACGACGCAGACCCTGAAGGGTTCCCCCCGGGAGCTGCTCCTGGTCGGCAACCAAACCCTGCAGCCGCTTCCCCAGCCGCCAACCACGATCCAAGACGTCCAGAAGAGAGACAAACAACGACGAACCGCCGTACCTACCACGCTGCCTGGCCTCTCTCCGACGTCCAACCCAACCCCCAACGGCCCTGCCGCTTCTTCTTGATCGGTCGACCCGTGAACCCACACCTGACTATTCTAATCGTCATGAGCGGCCATACCGTTGCATCATGCCACCATCTGACAGGGGAGCCATCCCCTCCAATCCAATCGACCGGGGACGTAACGAATTCTTGATTATTCTCGACACTCTCCAACACAGTAAAGCCCCTAATCTTCTGTTATATGGATATCTCTCAAGCCAATCGCCACCGCGCCTCCATTGGCCCAGGGACAATGTCCTGCGTTTCGTTGTGCGTCGTCCGTCGTTGGGTTGACGACATCTTCATCTCCTGCTGCAGCCTGTAAGCTCGTCGTGCGGGCTTTGCAAAACAATGATAGTCCGGGAGGCTCTTCTTCCTGCTGCATGGGGCAATCCCCCTTACGCAAGCTCGCCTACCGAGTTTGTCACCACGTCTCCACAGAGAACAGATCATCGACCTATTTGGATTTATGGAATCTCCCAAGCCAACCGATGCCTCGCAGCAGAACGAACCCTAGAGTTCCCGTCAACGAACCGGAATGGCCAAACAAATCCAAACACCTGGGATTCAGGATCGACCACTGCCCAGGTCTCGGTTCCCCATAGTAGACCCATGCTTTGCCGGGCCTCGTTCGCCTGTCTAAGTACATGTCTCGCCCCCAAGGGCGGCTGTCAATCTTCTCGAGTGCCCACAAACATCCCTCTTCCATTCTTGAGCTCTACTTCCACCTCATCCTCAAGCTACTGCGGATTCTCCGGCTTAAGCAGGAGTAGCGACGTAGCCAGGGCCTAGGAGCTTATGGTTGTCTTTTCATCATCTCAGATTCAATGTTCAGAAGAGCCAATTCATGCAATCACCGTTGCGTCGGTGATGCCGCTGTCCAAAATCTTCAAGGCCAAGGCGGGGCTGTGTCAAGAAAATCCTTCTCCGACTGCTATTCTTACTCAAAGGAGTACCGATGTCCTTGATTGCGGCCGAGATACTACCATTTACAACAGTTCAAGAGCCACGTTTCTTGCGGAATCTTATTCAGAATTCGATTCGGGTGACAAAAACACTCGGCCCCTTCAGACTTCATTCGCCCCTGGCATGCGATATTCAGCTAGCATCTCATACCAGCTCCACCGAGAGGCGATTGCTTTCGGCCAGGCGTGCAGCTTGTCTGCAAGCTTTTCGTGCAAGACCCGAGGTTCATAATCTTCTTGCCTCATCTCCTTCTCCTTCCAAGCACTTCCGAGGCCTTACTTCGCCTCCAGACTCAGCCGCTCCTTTGTCACCTCCTTGATCTTGCAGCCATCTACATTGTCTTGTCTCTTTCAGCTACTCACCTTCATGATGCTATTCGATGAACCCCATCGGTGAAGGCGAGACTATTCGGGCCTGAATCTTGATCTGACGACCAGATGTCCCGGTTTCCGGGCCTCCTCCATGGTCGGTGGTCTCCTTATCCCGCCTAGCGGCACGGGCTGGCTTTAGTCTCGCAGCATGCTGGAAGACGACCCCAGCCCAGCTAACCCCAGCATCCTTGTCCACACTCCGTCGGACCAGCCTCGGCCATGTCAGGCAGGTAGTCCTCCGCTCGCAGTGTAGTGTAAATCTCTTCAGGCTACTGATGATTTGCCGGCTTTGATGCTTTCTTTTGCGTGCAGAAAATACCTTACCTAAAGTCTCTTGGCCCTCTCGATGCCCGCTAGTTCATATTTCTGCTCCCATCCTCGAGCTTCGTCTCGGATGCCACAAACGTGAGCTAAGGCTTTCTACCCCACTACCTTCTGCATCTGGTAGATGCCCAATATCTTGAGACACCTGGTTAGCTTTCATTCGTGCCCATCTGGAAGGGACTCCCCCGTCCGTTTCCACCCCTCAATCCCGAGCATAGCTCCTTTTACTTGCCACAAACTGCTTCTGTCACATTTCTGTTGTTTCCATACTTAATCAGTCAAGTGTCAATGGAGGCGGTCAGTACCTCACATCTTCAACTTCAGACAAACACCCAGGCCAACAACTGGTTGCTCTGGCTTGCGCGAGAAACAACTTACCAATCTTTTTGCTGCAGGAAAGAGAAAGGAACCGCATCCGAGACAATCAACGCCGCTCGCGAGCTCGCAAGAAAGAGTACGTCCAGGAGCTCGAGCAGCGTCTTCGTGATTGCCAACTCAAGGGCATAGAGGCTTCAGCAGAGGTTCAGCAAGCTGCACGCCGAGTCGCAGAGGAGAACCAGAAACTTCGACAGCTTCTCAGTGAAGTCGGCCTGGGCGACCGTCAAGTCGACCAATACTTGAGAACGGATGTCCTTGATCATGGGGACGGACGTGATTTCCAGGCTCACGCTGCAGCGAGCAGGAAGCAGGGGCACGCAGTGAACGCTCTCGATAGCATCATGGCAGCGAGGCGACCCGACTCCCTCGATCTCTCGAGGCCCTTCCCTGCAACAGGACATCAAGCAAAATCTGACCCAGCCTCTGCGTATGACACGGCATCCAACTCCCCGAGCGAGAGTTATGGTGCGTTGTCAGAAGATGCGCAACAACCGCCGTACAGGGTGGATTCCGCAGCTACAATGAGTGTGCCGTCTCAACCGGTCTATGTACAAACAAGAGGGCCCCGAATTCCAAGCGACGATCACGTCCCGCAGAGCCAGCAACCATGGCTCCCAGGAGACCCGACTCCACCTTCTGGTAGCGTAGCTATTAACATGCAAAGCTACGCGTCGAACCAGTCTCTGCACTTTCACCCAGCATTTCCTCGGACAAACTCAACAACCTCTCTGCCGACAAGCTGTCAGGGGCATACCGCTTCACCGTACGCGGTCTACGACCCCCTCAATCAGGCTCAGTCCTTCATTTCTCCCCACCTGGGGACGGGAAGTGCTGGCCACTCCGGCCCCGCATCTTTATGCGACACAGACTCTAGCGCGGAAGACCGACGAAATCTACAGACGGGCAACCTGAGAGCATTTCCATGGCCGCAAGAAGAATCTACGCATCCGCAATATGGTGCCCAAGACATCGTATGGAGCCAGTATAGCTCCTCCTCATCGGCACCTAACTTACGACCTCCTCCAGAACAACAACTCGACCCAGTTCGCATGCCGCGTTCCTACAGACGAAACAGACAATAGACGTGAGATCCAGGTGAATTGTTCAGAAACTCGTCCTTTGGGGCTGAGAATAGACTAGCTTTGCTGAAAGCCAAGTCGCCCTTTCGTTGCCAGAAAATGTGGTTTCAGGGATCTGCGTCGAAAGAGAAGGAGATCGGAGTATTGAAGGAAAAAGAAGAGAATATCCTATTGTTCTAAAGTAAGGGAGCTCAGGAGATGGCAAACAAGAAACAAAGGCTACACGACATTTCTCGACCACCACCCTCTCTCGAAAAGAACCAAAACCGTTACATCTCTTTGGGCATCGAAATCCAGTCCCTCGGATTTTCTGATTGTCTTTGTCACATCGCAGCAACATTGCAAAATCAAATGTTGAATGAGAGACGTGGCGAATGAGGCACCCGTGGACATATAAAGATCACGTACGGTGGTGAGCACGGGCATTGTTTCCCTTCAGCCCGACAACGACACGGATACAAATGTCTCCTAATGTTCTTAAAGGAAGCAAGATCCCCACGACTTGTTTGTGTTGAATCCTACTGTCTTCTCAAGCCATTGTCGTTTTTAGTGTTTCATGCCTGTTTTCATGTGCTTGACACCCATCCTTCACTATGAACCACAAACAGCCACAGCAGCAACCACCACAACCAACACGAATTCAATATTCAGAACAGCGAATAGACCTTTTGCAGTGTTCACTCATATCTCAAGAAGTCGAAATCGGGAGACATCTAGCCGAGATCCAATACCGACATGGTCATGTCCATGAAGCTTTACAAGCGTTTCGGCGGTTGGCTGAGAGGACTGAGGACGCGGCCGTCTTCTTGACTAACATGCGAGGGCTAGCTGGAGATGGGAGCGATGCCTTTGCTACGATGGGTAATGTGCTATTGCAGCAGCAGCAGCTTCTCTTGACCCAGATGGAGGAAGTTGAGCAGGGTATTTCAGGGGACGTCACGGGCGACCCGACACCTCCAGCTGAACCACTTTCGCCGGCTGCGTCACCTCCGAATCGAAATGCTCCTCAAGCATCGCCTGTTCCTCCTCCGGCCGGCCCCCGAGAATACCCTTTTCCTCCTGGCAACCAGAACGCCCCAAGCCAACCTGACTTTCCGCAAAAAGCTCAACCGCCAGGATCTCTGTTCCCTCCCGCGGAGGATGACCGGGGCTTCATCTTCGCGTCTGCGGCCCCAAGACGAGCATCGCCTCCTCCGCAAGCTGCCTTTGGGATCCAGGCACCGTCACAAGCACCAGCTGCCGGGATTATTCAACCATTGTCTCCAGCCCCCAGGTACCAGCCATGGCCAACTGTCGACCCCGCCTTCGCAAACTCAGCGCTGACGCCGATTTCCTTTGGGGGACAACATGTGTCTGAGCCACGTGCGGCCCATGACATGAGCGGAGCCGTACGCATCAGACGCCAACTAGATGAACAGGAAGAAAGACAAGAGGCGGCGCGAGATGCAAAGTGGTGGGCCGACATAGGCAAAGACATTTCGCCGGCGAGATCCCAGAACTCTCTTAAAAGACAGGGCGACGAGTTGCCTGGTACACCTGGCAAACGACAACAAACCGAAAACAGCCGCGCGCGCGGTCTTCGTGGCGGAAAGGGAGAGGGAAACAAATGGTTCCACGAACTCTTCAAAAAGTTGAGTCCTTTTCCCTCTAGAGATCGAAATGGGGAGGAAACCAAGCCCCAGCATTCCTTTGGTAACGACCAGATCAACTCCGACACAAGTCAGACTCACTATCATGAAAAAAGCGTCGAAGGACTTCTCAGGATTGCTTCCCTGAAAAGTCAATTCATTCCGGCGCATCAAGAAGAAAAGGCCGTCAGGGACCAACTAGCAGACCTCGTCACACTCTACGACTGCATGACCACTCGTTTCAGTCGTCAAACGGCCAGCAGTCCTGATTACGAGACACAAAGTCAGATCGAAACGCTGCTCGAAGCTTTCAGAAAGTTCCCCGTTGAGCTCTTCGATACCCCGGACACGTGTCGTACTCTTGAAGACCTCGCGACCTTTTGCGAAACCACGGACCGCACGACCCCCAAGACCCCGGAAGAAGAAGAACAAAAAGCGGCGGCGCTCGCCAGCGCTGCGGCGATGATAGGCCAGTGCCACGACCGGCTAGAGAAGCAGACTCTCTTTGCAGCCAAGGTTTTCGTAGACGGTGAAAAGACGGGGGGCCTGTTTGCAAATTGGATCAACGGGGAGCGTAGACATCTTGCACACGAGGCGGCATTCGGGGAGAGGGCCCGTCAGACGCCGAAGCTTTTTCGCAGAGGCCGCGGGCAGTATCATATAGTATAAGGGGTGTTTTTGGTGTTCAAGGAGTCCATGCATACATATTAGGCTGGAGAATTTGCTTGTTCTTTTTGTCGATTGTGTGGCGCTCAATGCTCCCTCCGTCGAATCTCATACCAGCACCTACGTACACAACAAAAGACAGGGGATATATCAGCCCAAGCATTGCTCACGATGTCAGCTGATGGTTGAAATTCTCCTTTTTTCTTTTGGGGAAAAAGTCCTCGAGATCAGTATTCATCTCATTCGTGCCTCCTGACGCCATTCGAAACCTCTTCGATGAACTACAAAAAGTAATCGGCCACCGGCTTCTTGGCCGGCATTCCTCTAGAATCCTGCGGCGCGGCCTGAAAAACGCGGTATCTTCTGGCTGGCCCGGGTAGCAACACATAGTCGTCGGTGCCTTTGATACCGCCATCGCTGCGGCCTACATCGCCATTACTGCGAGCGAACACACCGGTGCCAGAGTCATCTTCCGCAAGCTCGAGGATGGCAGCGACGTTACCGCACCGGTAACAGTAATTTGGTGCCGACCACACGGTGACGATACTGGCGTCGAACATCTCCTTGAAGCCTTCCATGACCAGCTGATGGGCGCGGGCAATGAGCGAAAGATCGTTCTTATGGTTGAAGTCTCGGACAATGTCCGCTCCAAATAAGAATCCTGCACCACGAGGTGACAGACCCCAGCCATCGATGTCGTCTGGGTCTGACCACAACAGGTCACACATGGCACCCTCGTGGGGTACTTCTTGCTTCCGGTCCAGAAGCCTGATCTTATCGACACTGTCAATGAGAGGGGAGAGACCTCCGTGGACGCAAAGAATAGCTCCTGCGGGGTTGCCGAGTGACCCCGATGAACTTCCCGATGCGCCAGAACCTGGAGGGCCAGTCTTGTCGCCGCCGGACGATGAAGGTGCACCATTGGGGCTGCTGGGAGTCGGCTGTCTCTGTGGCCTTCGTTGGCGGGGGAATCGACTCATGGTCGAGCCGCTCTGATCGCAGACTTGAATCTCGATGTCGTCGCCGACGGGCTCTTGGCCTGGGGTAGAATTAAAGGTATGTGATGCGCCGAGAACGATGGCGCCAAGCGCGAGGTAGTCGAATACGTCGCAGCAATACCGCCATACATTTGCGGAGCCATACTTGCGTAAGCATTCGTCGTAGAAGCCGTAGACGGTTGTGATCTGGCGGGACTCGTGGTTGCCTCGAATAAGGGTCATGCGGTCGGGGTAGCGAACCTTTAAGCACAGAAGCAGGAGAAAGGATTCGAGGGAGTAGAAGCCGCGGTCTACAAAATCACCTAGACGTTGAAGGAAATGTCAGCATACCGCATACCGGGTCAAGATTGGGATGGAATAGCGGTGACGCACCCATGAAAAGGTAGTTGGTATCCGGTACGTCGCCGCCGACGCGGAAGAGCTCCATCAAGTCATGGAATTGACCGTGAATGTCACCACATATCTGGAAAGAAATACATTAACGCCGGTCCGATGTTGGCATGGTAGTCTGACGGAGGCGTACTGTCACGGGAGCCGTGACTGTGACGACATTGCCTTCTTCAATGAGAAGCTCGCGTGCCTTGTGGCACAGCTCGCGGACTTGCGCCTCGGGGATTGGGCGGCAGGCACGCAATTGCGCGATAGCTCTGGATTGATAATTAGCATATGACAAGCTCTTGACCGATCTAAGCCGCGGTTTTGCTCACTTATCGAGGTCGCTCATAGCGATGATCTCGGAGGGGCGCTCTGGTCGGTGTTGTGGCGGCGACCGAGGCCGGCGAGTCGCGATCGTTGGTCAAAGAGGTTTATGAGATATTCGTAACACGTCGCAAAGTCGTAGGAAAGTTGTTGTCGTTGCGATTCGGGCGCGTCGCTTTTCCCCGGTCGAGTCGGCAAATTATTTGCGTCGCGATCAAGGCAGATTTAGCATGGCATCAACGGCAGGAGACGTGCAAGGAACTGCTTTACTGTTGGCTTCGGCGGTAGGTCGCGCTGTGCCCCTAACCGCGCTAATTCTTATCAATTATCAGTGAAAGAGCCCACACCCACGACCCGCGCCGGGGTGGATCTGCGAGGAAGCATGCAGTGGGTACAGCGCCATCCCTGTCGCTACGTTCCCAACCCCAGGCGACATGGACTTGACGGAACGGAACTTCAGCTCGGAGATTCTGTTTTCACGGCCCCCGAAGATAAGATCCTCAGGCAAGAGCCGTTGGCAGGTCATGGCACTTTTTGGCCCCACTCCAGTGCGGCGGAATCCAATCATGTGGCCTGAATTGCAATTCGATCATTAGCGTGAGCTTCACTCACGGGCCGGTTGCGAGAAATTCAGAGCGCAGGCAATAATCCACACCACTTCCAAGGTTCCCGCCTTCTTCAGCGGACTCTGCCCGGATTATCTGCCCCTCTCAGCGAGCATGGTACGGCGATAGGTGAGCACATCTTCGCGATTGACTCGATTATGCCAAATCCTGGGTTGCTGACTGCCAATTGCACCAGACAAGCCATCGGCCCTCCTTTCCGAACAAGAAAAAGACGCGATCATGCCACCACACCCCCTCCATCCGCGGTCGCGAATGACCTCATCCCTCTTCGCAACCACAGTCGTCGCCAGCTTCTTCGTCGTCGGACTGCCGCATCTGCTACCCTGTCCGGCACCCAGAGTCACTTACGCCGATGGCGACATTATGATTGGAGAGGATGGCCGCCGGAGGAGGCGGAAGCGTCGCGAGACTCCCGAGATCAAGGACGGCATCGTCAACTTCGACCAAGTCGGCGATGAGGAGACATTACGACTGAGAGAGGAGCGCTTGCGGAGGGAGTGCCCAGTCCCAAAGCCAGGCGGCATACTGGGGGAATGGTTGGGATTCCACGGACCGAGCAAAGAGACACCAGAGGCCTCAAGGTGACGACATATGATACTTGTACAATCAAAGATACCATTTTTATTCAACGATGCGATGCGACATAACTTCTCCGGGCTGTCGAGGAATGGTCGAATTACACACAAAGCAGCCTCTAGCTCGGGTCTGCAAAGTGCATGAGACCGGCTGGTAGCATTGTGGTGATCAACCCAACCACGTGCTCGTGGAAGAGCACGGGAGGGTAGCCTGGTTACATGGCTCATGGCAAGATGAGGCGTCGCCCGTACAACGTTGGTTTGTTCGAGGTCATTAATCTGCGCGAGCAGAGCGACTCCATGACCAGCGGCTGTCGATGGAGAAACCTACTGGTGTTGGACGAACACTGGACCGTCCAAAATGACGCCTTCATTTTTTTCTCCATTCATCAAGATCGTTGCCATGAGTGGTCGCCGCACTTTTCTGACTCTGTGTTTTTCAATGCTTCGACGTTGATCTACAACGCCAGATTCAAAGTTCGCGGGACGCCAGAGCCTGTCCCAGGTACAACCGGAGCTTCGTCGTCTACTCTAGTTTGTGCAAGCAACTAGGCAAAACATATCCTAATGAACGGTCACTTGATGAGAGACAAACCAATCGCATCTTCTCGTTTTTTCTTTCTTTTTCACATCGCTTCAGTCGTGTGTCATCTCATAGTTCACACGTGCATCGTGGCAATGAGATGTCGACCTTCAGGTGCTGCGGGACTACTGTGCCATGCCGGGCCACCTCGAGCCACAAGCGCATACAAAACGCGCCAAACAGGCATTCCCTCGGAAGGCGTTGGTCGAGCCTCGCCAAGTTTAAATAAGCACTCGTCCTTAAATCAAGGTTATTTCCAACAATTGTTCCTGAAACGCAGATGCAGTTCGCCCTTGCAGCACGTCACATCGGGTCTTCGATCCTTGTGAAGCAAGGGCCTGCAATCCGACGGGTCGCAAACCCAAAATCGAGGTCGGCAGCATTAGACGTCTTGGCCTACGAATACGGTTGTGCTGCCTTCTCTGAAAACTCTGCAGTCTCCGTCGACAACCATTCTGCGTGTTTTCCAGGCATTTCATGATCGGTGCACATCTTCAAGGATCCCCCGTTTGCTCTCGACTTCACCTTCCTGCTCACGCCGCTATTTTCAACTGCCGTGGACCTGATCGCGCATGATCTCCCGGGAAGCGCGAGAAGAGATGTGAACAATGCAGCCAGTTGCAATCTGGTTTTCTCAGTCGTGATTTTCGGATTCTTCGCGGCACCAGTGTCTTCCGTGGTAGTCCGGGCGATCGTGGAGGATGAGACGTCAGAAGAGACTCGGGTAGCGATCTCTGCTGCTAAGACCCGCAGCATGTCACCGCACTAACCTCTAACATCTGCTAACATTTTCTGACACAGGGTGCCCCTGATGCACGCCTTGGCGTGCTGAGCGCAGCCATCGTCGAGCAGACCCGACGACCAGGGTCGTCAATAACATTATCAAGGTTGACTTTAGCTCATCGCGCGGAGAAATACTGCTGGGGGTGCAAGCGGTCTGATGTCCCAGCCGCCAAGAACGGCTCAGATCAGTCGAAACAGCCGAGCGACGAATCATGAGCAACGACTGGAGCTAGGGGAGCGGCCGGGAGTTGGGTTGACGGGTGCCATCTGTTTCTTGACGGGGACGACTGAGACCGGCTTTCCTCAACCCATCTTCTTCCGTCCTGCTTTGTGGGGACGGATGCTGCTTCGAGAGTTGGGAGGTAGGCGCCACAACCCATTGGCACGTTACGCAAACTGGTGATCCCAGATGGAATGTCTCATGGGCCTGATGGATGCCATCTGAAGCGCCATGTTTGGTCCGTGAGAGGTTACTCGATAACGGATAAGCTCCACTCGAGCACTTATGCTTAATGTCTTGTCCAGAACGAGCAGAACTTAAATAGCCATCGTCTTTCTCAATGAGATGGTTTTTTGTTCTTCATCCCTTCCCTTCAGGACAGTGTCTTTACCCCATCTTTCTGTTCTATTCTCTCAAGAGGTAAGCAGCTTCTCCCCGGCGAACAGAGTTTGACAACTAATCTCAAGCAGCTGTGCTCTGTTTTCATTCATTCCACGCTTCTCCGTCGTTCCTTGATACCCACCGTAAGTCGCTCCTATCCGTTAACCCCGAAGACCTGAGCTGACGAGACAGTTTCTCGTTCTTCCATTCTCAACAGTCTTTTCAAAATGAGGTCCTCCATGATTCTTCTCATTGCCACCGGCCTGGTGTCGGGTCTGAGCATTCCCAAGCTGGATGCTCGGGGTGTTGCCATCCGCGAGGAGGCCGCTGCTCCTGCCGCTCCCGCTGCCCCTGTTGCCCCTGCCGCCCCCGCCGCTCCCGCTGCTGAGGCCCCTGCTGCTGAGGCCCCCGCCGCTGAGGCTCCCAAGGCCTCTGCTCCTCCTGCTGAAGCTGCCCCCCCCGCCGAAGCTGCTCCTCCTCAGGCTACTACTCCTCCTGCTGCCGCACCTCCCGCTGCGGGTGGCGACGCCGCCGCCGAGGAGGAGAAGAAGAAGGCCGAAGAGGAGGCGGCCAAGAAGGCGCAAGAAGAAGCCGCCAAGAAGGCCCAGGAGGAGGCCGCTAAGCAGAAGGAGGACGCTGCCAAGGCTGACAAGGCCAAGCAGGAGGCCGAGAAGGCCCAGAAGGATGCTGCTAAGGAGGCAGCAAAGAAGGCCGAGGAGGCCCAGAAGGAAGCTCAGAGGGGCAACAACCGAGGCAAGAACAACAACAACAAGAACAACAACAACAATGCTCAGGTCCTTCAGAACATCCAGCTTCTCCTGGCCGCCATGGGTCTCAACAATGTTGTCAACGTCAACGCTCTCGCTCAGCTCCAGGCCCAGCAGCAACTCATCATGCTCGCTCAGCTCCAACAACTTGCTCAATTGACTTCCGTTGGCCTCATCCAGCCCGTTCAGCTTGTTGGCTTAATGCAGCAGGGCATTGTCGTCAACGGCATCCAGATTGGTGAGTGAACTTGAGGTTACGATGTTGTATTCATGACGCTAACTCTCTATTTCAGGCATGAGTGGCGGCAAGCAGTAAATGAGCCCTCAAAGCTCTCAATCATTGGACGAGTCGCAGTGGACCTGCCTTATGTCTGGTTGTGAATGAGCGCTTCGCCAGGATTGCTGCCGCATCACAGAAACCTCGCACAAGCATGACTCGAGGATACCAGCGCCGCATGGTGTGTTGATATGTAGCAACAAAGTGCCGTTGCTATGAGGCCCGGATCATGCCACGGGCGATGAGCTTAGAGTTGGGAAAAGGGTTCCTCGGGAATCCGGATTGGGTCGCGGTGCATTACCAAAAGGCTGTCTTGGAAGACAGGGGTCTGCATGTACTTAATGTGTTTTATACAAACATGCATCTGCCAAAATATCATGACTTTGACGTACCAAGAAAGAAAAAGTTGTCTCGAGTCCTGTTGATCCTGGGGGCGGTTCGTGGTTTCAGTCAAGGGATCCTGGTAAGAGCCCAGACTCTTGGCACCATCACAACTTTTAAGCTTATTGTCTACTTTGCAAAGAACAGCACGTGTGCAAAAGGTAAAGAAATACTTTTCTACTGACGTATGTATGCCCCATGCATGCACCATTCTGCTTCCTATCGAATCGTGGAAGCCTCCATCTAGTTTCAACATTCTGTCTGCCTTTGCACTCTTCTACCTCAAACCACAAATAATGCAATGGTAAAGTGAACTTGACCGATTACTCTGGACAGACGATGTCGGAGTGGATAAGATAATCCAAGTCTCTTACTTGTCGGCGTGACACCATCTCTTCTCCCTTTGGAGGCTTCAATGATGGCAAAGTTTGGTAGCGAAATGCATTGGCCAAACGCGAATGCATCCTCATCTCCACGGAATTGCCCAAGATCCGAGCCGTCAGGACATGAGATGGATGAAGGGGCTGAAGGAGAGGGTGACGTGGGAGGGCCGCGTTATTATCAATCGCTTAATGCGTTGAGAGGTGCATGTGCCTCATCGACGGGCACCTGTGACATTTGTAGATGGAGATCGCACGCGAACAGGGGCCTGGCATGACAGCAACTGACAGTTCCCGGTGGCAGACCGTTGCAACTTACCTAGGTTGCGCCCGGGCCGCTGCGAGACAACCGGAATGCGGGGGTCGACGGACCAATAGCGGGGCGTTGATTCGGACGCAGGGGCCGCTTTGGGGTCCAAAAGTTGACAGATGCTCCACTCGCTGAGGCTAACCTGGCTACTAAACCTTAGTTGAGCCGCTCTGACGTCCGCTGCATGGGTCCACGTCTCTCCTCTCCTCTCCCATCTTCCCTCCACGGGTGTCTTCTCCATCGCTCATCTGCTCCAGTGTCCTTCTTTGGATGGAATCACCCAATCATCGGCCCTGCTCTCCTATAGTACCAAGGTGCAATTGACAAGCCACGGTCTCGGTCTGACATCCTGAGCCTTGTGAACACCGCTTCGCCGGCTGGGCAGCCAGCCCATCAGGACGATGTGACGCCGTCGCTCAGGCACCAACTCTACTTCATCCTGTTCATGGCTGTCAGAAGACTTGAGTTACAATGGGCTCGAATCCGGCCCTATGTCATCCGACCGCAAGTTCCATATCGTTCCCTTCAGTCTTCGGATGACACGCCTGGCATCTCAGCACCGTCCCAAGTCCATACGCTTAGCTGCGATAGCCATGCAGCGCATTGCAGCGTCTTTGCGTTACCCTAATTTCACCACACATCAACAGGCCGCGTTGAATCCAACTAGGAAACATTTTCTTTCTTTCTCGCGGCCCTCGTATCCGGAGCTTTTGCGAAAACCTACTCCAGCGTGGGTGGAGCATTTTCTCGGGGACCAAGGCTGACCCTGGGCGTTTTCTTCCGTGGTGCCAGAGGCCGTGAAAGACGACAAGCTTGATTTTCAGAACTATCCTGCAATCAGCTGCCTTTGTTGGTTGTTAGACTGACTCTTGGTGAACATCGGATCTATCTCTGTCTCTTATTGTTGGTCATGGATTAGCATGGTGAT